CTTGTGAATCCCAAACTTGGAGTCCACTAGCCTTGGTTTCGGAGACTGGTTACAGCCTTTATATATCTGTAATCCATACAGTCAAATTGTGCCATCTGGATTTGAAATAATCAGAGGGAGGAGTGGGAACTAGTCAGGTCCTGTAACTATGCTGCGCAGAAAGGAGTCTGCCATCTCTTTTTTTACCCTCTCAAACCTACCTTCTGGAGCAGAGAGGGACTTCAGAGAACATGGCTGGTTTTTACACAGCCATCTGAGGTCTGCATAGTAGTGGGGGTATGAAGCACGTATGTGGCCAGAGAGAGGGTATGGCACATAGCCCTCTCAAAAAATAACAGAAGGAAAATTTCTAATAGCTAGAGTGCTTACTTATGTATTACTAGTCTGAAAATTACAAACTTCTTGTAGTGTTTGAATGAGAAACCAGCCAGAATCACTTCTTTATTCTAAAAACAGCCACTATGATGGTTAATATTAGGTGTCAACTTGACTGGATTCTGAGATGCCTAGATGGCTGGGGAAGCACTGTTTCTTTGAGTGTCTGTGATGACAGAAAAGGATGACATTTCAGTCAGTGGACTGGGAGAGGAAGACCCACCCTCAATGTCAGTGGGCACCACCTAGTCAGCTGCCAGCACAGCTAGAAGAAAGCAGGCGCAAGAAGGGGGATAAGAAGCTTGCTGGGTCTCCTGTCTCTTCCCATGCCAAGGGCTTTGCTTCCTCTCTTCCTGCCTTTAGACATTCTAGGTTCTTCGGTCTTTGGACTCTGGGACTTGCACCAGCAGCCTCCTAGAGGTTCTAGGGCCTCTGGCCTCAGACTGAGGCTGCACTTTAGTTTCCCTGGTTTTGAGGCTTTCAGACTGGGACTGAGCCACACTACCAGCTTCTCTCTTTTGCAGCTTGCAGATGGTCTATGGTGGGACTCTGCCTTAAGCCAATTCTCCCTAGTAAAATTCCTTTTATATATACATACATCCTATTTATTCCATTCTTCTGGAGAAAGAACCCTAATATAGCTACTTAAAGAAAAGCAGATTGAACGATTTTTTTCCCACTCTGAACAAAGAAAGTAAGCAAAAAGAAAAAAAAATGAGTGATATTTATAAGAATAGCAGATGTTTATTGAAGGAATTATCACTATTTCCTGTGAAAACAATTTCATGACTCCAGTTTTGTAACATCAGAGGCTACTAAAGACAGTCTAGTGACTAAAAACAACCTGACAATATGGGCATCTTTTAAATTTTATATTAAAGGGAAAAACAATCAAGAAAGGAAGTCTTGCTGAGGGTACAGAGCCGCAATGAAATTTAGTCTTAAGGGATTTAGATTCAACAGCTACTAATTAATCCTAATTACTCAGCTACTTAAAGCTGTTTTTTACTTCAATTTTCTTCCAAGTAAGACCTAACACAGGACATACCATCTATGAAAAAAGATTTCTAAGTCCAGGGCGACACTTTCCTCTCTAAGCAGGATTCTTTGTCTTACATATTGCCCTCTAATCAAGGCTATAAAAAATGAGATTTTCGTATTTTCCTCTCAACTAAAAAGAGCATATATATTTTGATTCTACACAGGAGCAATTCTATATAACCAGGATGTCTGTGGCTAAAATTATTACCTCTTTATATTCCTCAGGATATTCAGCGTACTAAAATAATAAGTGAATAAATGTGAGTAGACAAGAAACCAAATAACAAGACTGAGCAATACACAGTAGTTTAGTGATGTGTATTTCAAAAGCACTGGGTTGGGTTTTTGTGTTTTTTTTTTGTTTTGCTTTGTTCTGTTTTTGAGACAGAGTCTTGCTCCGTGGCCTAGGCTGCAGTGCAGAGTCGTGATCATAGCTCACTGTAACAATGAACTCCTGGGCTCAAGTGATCCTCCCACCTCAGCCTCCTGAGTACCTAGGACTACAGGAGTATGCAACCAAGACTGATTAGAGCTAAGTTTCTGATGAAGAGAGAAGAAATGGCAGTACAGAGAGGTACATGACTTGAGAGACACATAAACTAGCAACTGAGGAATGCAGACTAAGGACTGCCCTTGGGGAACAGCCAGGTTTCCACTGGAACAAGAATGTGAAGAAAACACATTCATTCAAGACCAGCCTGACCAACATGGTGAAACCTCGTATCTACTAAAAATACAAAAAATTAGCTAGGTGTGGTGGCAGGCACGTGTAATCCCAGCTACTCGGGAGGCTGAGGCAGAAGAATCGCTTGAACCCAGGAGGCAGAGGTTGCAGTGAGCCAAGATCGTGCCATTGCACTCCGGCCTGGGCGACAAGAGCAAAACTCAATCTCATAAATAAATAAATAAATAAATAAATAAATAAATAAAGCCAGACGCGGTGGTTCACGCCTGTAATCCCAGCACTTTGGAAGGCTGAGGAAGGCAGATCTCCTGAGGTCAGGAGTTCAAGATCAGCCTGGCCAACACGGTGAAACCCTATCTCTACTAAAAATACAAAATTAGCCAGGCGTGGTGGCAGGTGCCTGTAATCTCAGCTACTCAGGAGGCTGAGGCAGGAGAATTGCTTGAACCTGGGAGCCGGAGGTTGCAGTGAGCTGAGAGCTAAGACTGCACCACTGCACTCCAGCATGGGCGACAGTGCGAGATTCTGTCTCAAAACAAATAAACAAACAAACAAAAAAACACATTCAAAGAGACAGTTCCTGGTTTCCAGAGGGTATTATGAAAGGGCTTGAAAGGATGGTAAGAGCTGCATGCCTAAACTCTGACTGAGGTAAAAGTTGGTAGCCCTGGGAGACTCCTGGAGAAAGGTGAGTGATCAGTTCAAATTATAGCAGAATGTTTATCTGAAAGGATGCAGGGACCTGTTGTCCCTGTTATTCCCACAGCTCAAGGCAGGTATTAGCCTAGAAGATGGGTGATGGCCTCCTCAAGGGACTATAATCCTCACTTGCCTGGGGCAAGAAATATAAAGCTCTCCTATATTCAGATCTCTAGGTATGAGATGGCATCATATCCTTCCTTGAAGATATATACTGTTGAAGATCATAAAGTCTTCTAAGACAAAAAAGAAAGCCTATCTAAAGAAAGTTTTAGGCACTATGACCTGGTGATGAAAAAATGTTTTGGTCAGAGAATATCTGCTCAGCAATATATAAAGCATCAACAATTCTGCTCAAGAATAATATACCAGGTTTGTCCCATGAATGCTGCAAATCTGTCCCAGGCCCTCCAAACCCTGCTTGCAATGACCACACAAAGAACTATTATATCACAAATTATGTGCAAACCACTATCCTATCAAAATAGGACAAAGTAAGTAATTTTTTTTCATACAAATATACGACCTTCACCCTTCACTTCTTTCTTTCCAGTAACAGCAAAAAGAAATATATATGCCTTAAAACTAAATTACGAGGTACAGAGATAGGCCATAAATCTCATTCACAGAACACTGATAGCATCTTCCCTATAAAACCATGGTCAAATAATTGTTAGATACAATCACCTTTCATAGAGGCAGCTACCCGGGAAAATGCCAACTGGTCTCCCACTCGCATTACAGAACCATCATGGTGGGCAGAGGCACTCTGGTATAATGAAGAAAGCATGAATTTCAAAGTCAGATCTGAGCTCAAATCCTGGCTCTGACAACTTAGTGGCCAGTCACCTAACTTCACTGACACTCAATTTTCTTGTATTGTAGTGGGAGGACTAAATAATGTATTATCAAAAATTCCCCAAACAATAATTCACTATGTGCATAAGACAGACAGCAGTGGGCTTAGGGATTCACTGTATACCCAGAGGAATGGCTGTGTTAAAAATAGGGAGATTCTAAGTATTCCAGATTGACTTTGAGCTAAGCATTTAAAATGTTTTAAATATTGGTGGAAGATAGGCTGAGACCTTCAAGGAGGGCTGGTCATAAAGAAAGGCAGAGGAAGATAGAAAACATCTGTTATACTGATTGCTCAACACCCCTCCCTCCCTTCTTCAGGGTGATTTTTCTCAGTGACAGAAGGAACAAACCAGATGAGAAAGCCTCAGCTCCTTTTCCACTTCCCAATTTGAAGGAGTTGTGTGAAGGCAAGATGCAGTTGTGGCCACTGTATTGCCATCATGAGGTTATGAAAAAATGAAAATCAATATGCTGAAAATTATGAAGAGAGAAGTTTGATGAAGTGCTGAGTTGCCAAACCAAACATAGCACTGCTTACCTCTAGATTTCCCCTTAAGCAATCAATCAATGTTCTTAAGGTCTAGGCTGCTAGTACTTGGTATTCCGTTCATTACATCTGAAAATATCCCAAGTACTACCTTACACAAAAATTCTCTTTAATCACTCTCCCTAAAGTGTTTAGAAACACTGCTCCAATGTCCTATACTTAAGATTTTATCATTTACCATCTGTCTGGCTTACCATATATTTCATGCATTACTCACTTAATCCTTACAACAACCTTGTAAGGTAGGTAATTATTCCTTTTTTTTTTTTTTTTTTTTTTTTTGAGACGGAGTCTCGCTCTGTCGCCCAGGCTGGAGTGCAGTGGCCGGATCTCAGCTCACTGCAAGCTCCACTCCCGGGTTCCCGCCATTCTCCTGCCTCAGCCTCCCGAGTAGCTGGGACTACAGGCGCCGCCACCACGCCCGGCTAATTTTTTGTATTTTTTAGTAGAGACGGGGTTTCACCGGGTTAGCCAGGATGGTCTTGATCTCCTGACCTCGTGATCCGCCCGTCTCGGCCTCCCAAAGTGCTGGGATTACAGGCTTGAGCCACCGCGCCCGGCCAATTATTCCTTTTTTACACACAGGTCTGAGGCTCAGAGCAGTTAAGTGACTTGTCCAAAACTGATAAGCTAGTTCATGGCAGAACTGGGGTTAGAACATGGATCTCTCCAACCCCAAAGTTTGTTCTTTTAGCCTTTCAGCTCTCTATACCATGTGAAGGCACAGTCTCCCACTAGTTTTATATGTATCTAACGTTTTTGAGTCTACAATTGTTTCAATTTCAGTTTTTTCTGGTTGTCTAGACATATATTGAAAAGATGAAGCCTAGGTTGTTTTCCATCATCTGCAGATCCTTCCACAACTGTGGGAAAGGAGGGTTCAGTGAATTTTTGCTGTGTTCTTTTAACCTAACAGTGTTATATTTTGTTGACAACTCTAAAGTCAGCTTGTCTTAAAACTAAAAAAGACAAAGGATTGGTGTTTATGATTTTACTAAACAGGAAACATGCTCTAAAAGGAAGGGACTTGCTTGCGGTTCCACTGCTGCTAAATGCCAATGTCAGGGCGTAATCCCAGGGCTTCGGGCTCTATATACTATGTGCCTTTCATAACACTGCTGAGTGAAAAGGAGCATGTCTTCATTGCATTTAAAAAATACTGTGCTTTTTTTCTTGAATATAAAATTAGTATATTCTCATGTAGAAAATCTAGAAAGCATAGAAAAGTACACAGAAGAAAATAGAAGTCACCTATAATCCTATCACCCAGAGATGATCACTGTTAACATTTTGGTTTACTTCCTTCCCAATTTTTCCTATGCATAAATATTTTTTTAAATTTTGGATTGTATGTCATTGTTTTATCTTCCATCTTATCCAAATCATTTCTCCATGGCATTAAATTGTCTTTAAAAATGTTTATAATGGCTGCAGAACCATCACACGGATAGCTCATCATTCATTTCAACCCTGTAATGCTAAAAATCTGGTTTTCTTCTTTCAGTCATATATGATGCTGCCATGAACATCCCTTTCATTAATCTTTGCCTACTTCTAATTATTTTCCCTGTATGATTCTTAGAAGTAGACTTAAAAAGTTGATACTAAAGAGCCACTTTTTAGAAAAGCAGCAGTCAGCCCTACTACCCACAATATTTGTTACCTACAAGGTTTCTTTCTCCTCACTATGTTTTCTCTGGTGTTGAATAAGCTGTGAGCTATACCGATAGGCTTTCCCACACTCACTACATTTATAGGGTTTCTCCTTAGTGTGGGTTCTCAAGTGTAGAATAACTTGAGAAGTCTGCCTGAAGGTTTTCCCACATTCATTACATTTATAGGGTTTCTCTCCAGTGTGAACTCTCTGATGATCAACAAGGTTTCGATTAGAAGTAAAAGCCTTCCCACACTCATTACATTTGTAAGGTTTCTCTCTACGATGAAGTCTCTGGTGTTCATTAAGGGTTTTCCTTAAGATGAAAGCTTTTCCACACTCATCACATTCATAAGGCTTCTCCCCAGTGTGAATTCTCTGATGGTCCATAATCTTTGTATTCGAACCACATGTTTTCCCACACTCCTTACATTTGTAAACTTTTTTTCCTCTGTGCATTTGCCGATGTTGAGTAAGGTTTGAACTACGGCTAAAGGCTTTCCCACACTCAATGCAAGTATAGGGCTTCTCTCCAGTGTGAACTCTGTGATGTGATATAAGGCCCGAACTCCGACTAAAGGCTTTCCCACACTCTTTACATTCATACGTTTTCTCCCCACTGTGGATTCCCTGGTGCCGAATAAGATGTGACTTTCCACTGAAAGATTTCCCACATTCACTGCATGTATAGGGCTTCAGTCCAGTGTGGATTCTCCGATGAACAACAAGGTTAGAGCTATGGCTGAAGGCTTTTCCACACTCCTTACACTTATAGGGTTTCTCTCCCGTGTGGATTCGCTCATGTACCGTGAGGTTTGCACTCTGACTAAAGGTTTTCCCACACTCAGTACATACATACTGTCTCTTTTCAGCCTGAACTCTCTTGTTTGTTGCAGGGTCATAGCACTGACGATCGTCTTTTTCAGATTCTTGGTCACTCCCTTCTGTGAGTACTTTATTGTCTTTAACTGTCTTATGTTTGAAATTTCTTGTTTTTCTCCTCATTTTCTCCTGCTTGGAACATACCAGTGTCCTCTCTAGTCTTCTCTTTCCCTTCAGAGGAGCCTTCTAAATTTTGACTTCCTGGGCAACGTCTCTGTGGAATTCTCTTGAAAGTATGTACCTTTCAGGAATGATGCTTTGGAATTAACTCCGCCTCAGTCCCAGTTTCACCATCTGACAGGAGAAACAGAAATTGCACATGTCACCTATTCTCTGTACCAGAGGAAGGAGAACTATCCACGGACCAGATGTGGTAGACATATGGAAGGGTTAAGTGTTCAAGGGCAGGGGAACAGAGCAAAAAGATGACAAAAATGAAGTTAAACATAGAAGCCAATGTAAAGGCTTATGGAAAGCCAGGGCTGAGGGGAGCCCAACAGGTCCAGGATCAGAATAAGCAATGAATCGTATAAAATCCACCCTAGTTCCTTCCTGCCTCATCTTCTACTCCCTGAATTGGAGCCATCTAGCTCCCTTTTTTTTTTTTTTCTTTTGAGATGGAGTTTTGCTCTTGTTGCCCCCGGCTAGAGTGCAATGGCCTTATCTCGGCTCACTGCAACCTCCGCTTCCCAGGTTAAAGCGATTCTCCTGCCTCAGCCTCCCTAGTAGCTGGGATTACAGGCGCCCGCCACCACGCCCAGGTAATTTTTTGTATTTTTAGTAGAGATGCGGTTTCACTATGTTGGACAGGCTGTCTTGAACTCCTGACCTCAGGCAATCCACCTGCCTCAGCCTCCCAAAGTGCTGGGATTACAGGCGTGAGCCACTGCGCCCAGCTCAGAGCCATCTAACTCCTAATGGCAGGCTCAACTATAATCTGGCCCTAGAAAAAGTGAACTGAAAGATGACTGAACTTTAGATCCGTTTGGCTTTTCGTTCTTGCTAACCTATTCCCCTAGTACTAGTGATACTGTAGTTAGGATGTAAAAGGTGCTCAAAATGGTTTTATAGAATAGCAACTAGGATTCTGTCTTAGGCTGTAAGTAGGTTTTACTTACTTACCTTTTGCTCAAGGTCCAGGTACTAGATCCCAGTTTACATCCTTGCATGTAAGCCCTATCTTGTTAAGTGGTGACACAATTCTTCCAATATTGAGCCTAGTCACATCACAGCCTACTTCACAGGCGCTGGCCTGTAGCTGGATCCAGTTTTATATGCAAGTTTAGTCTGTCTGCTTTTCACCATGCTGTCACTCTGACAGACTGAGACTACTTAAGGGGTGAATCTGAGAGTCTAAATTGGGAAAGAAGGTTAGTTAAAGCATGGCAGACAAAACTCTGATAGGATCTTGCATGGCATAATAGTAAAGTATTTAAGGATGGCAAAAGCATCAGAGTAGGGGCAGGATAACCAAGAGATGCCAATACATGAAACCAAACATCAGAATAAGCAGGGATTTCCCAACTGGTTTGATGTGAAACTCTGGACATACAGGTAACCATGGGACCTTAGAGGGAGTTGGGATGTAAAATAAAGCAAAAAGATAACTACATGATACTAACACATGACTATTTTCCTTACTATGGTCCTTTATAGACTTGCCCACATGTATATTGTCAGACAGTTAAATACATGGTAGATATTTCGCATCCTACTTCTTGCAGTTCATTTATTTATTTTTTAGTTGATAAAAAAAGTATATATATATTTATAGCATACAACATGTTTTGATAAATGTTTACACGTGGAACAGGTAAATCAAGCTAATTAATATATCCATTACTTCACATACTTATTATTTTTTCGTGGTAAGAACATTTAAAATCTCTCTTAGCACTTTTCAAGTCTAAATATGTTGATATTAACTATAATTACCATGTTATACAATAGATTTCCTGAAATTATTCCTCCTGATAGAAGTTTTGTATCCTTTGATCAACATCTCCCTAATCATTGCCTCACATTTTTTTTTTTTTTTTTTTGAGATGGAGTCTCGTTCTGTCACCCAGGCTAGAGTGCAGTGGTGCAATCTCAGCTCACTACAACCTCCACTTCCTGGGTTCAAGCAATTCTCCCTGCCTCAGCCTCCTGAGTAGCTGGGATTACAGGCATCTGCCACCGCACCTGGCTAGTTTTTATATTTTTCAAGTAGAAATGGGGTTTTGCCATGTTGGCCAGGCTGGTCTTGAACTCCTGACCTCAGGCGATCCGCCTGCCTCCGTCTCCCAAAGTGCTGGGATTACAGGCGTGAGCCACTGCGCCCGGCCTCCACTTAATTTTTATGCATATTTTTCCACATTGCTATTTAATCTTCATATGATCAGTGAATTCCTTGTAATTTCCTTCCATTTTGCTAGTGTTGGACATTTCTGTTGTTCCTTGAAGTTAACTACTATCAATAATGCTATCGTAATCTCTTTATACACACAAAATTTCCTTCCTATTAAAATATATTCCTAGGACAAAAGTTCTACAAATGAGTTAATTGGGTCAGAAGGAGTGCAACTGTTGTGCAGTATTGCTTGTTGCTATTCAAAAAAGTTTGATGGGCTGAGCATGGTGACACACATCTGTAATCCCAGTACTTTGCAAGGCTGAGATGGGAGAATTGCTTGGGCTCAAAAGTTTGAGACCAGCCAGGGTAAGACAGGGAGACTACATCTCTACAAAAAATTTAAAAATTAGTTAGGCATGGTGGTGTGCACCTGTAGTCTCAGTTACTCAGGGGGCTGAGGTGGGAGGATTGCTTGAGCCCAGGAGGTCCAGGCTGCAGTGAGCCCTGATTATGCCACTGCACTTCAGCCTAGGCAAAAGAGCAAGACTTTGTCTCAAAAAAAAAAAAAAGGTTTGACCAATTCCCATTGTCCCATAGCTTTCTGATAAATGGAGTCACACTTTCTGGAGAAGGGAAATAGCAAATGGTGGTACTCGAGATTGGCAAAAAGATAACTGCACATATTCAAGTTCACATCTCAGAAGTGCAGGTGCCCAAGGATTCTATTCACAGGCACATACACACAAACTCATGCCCAAGATATGAGGGATAGGACAAGAGAATGGTGAGGCAGGGTGGATTCTTGCCAGGATCCTGGGCTCACCCACATTCAGCTGCTGCTACTTCTCCTAATCATAAAGGATGAGGCAAGTGGAGAAAACAGTGCAAAGCCAGGGGACTGCAATGCAGAGCAGGAGAACAAGTGAACTCACCTTCAAAGTTCTGTGAGAAAGTTGATAGTTTTTTTCTGAATTTCTTTTCAATTTCTAATCTTCTCTGGAACTTCTCTTTTCTTCATACATTTCTTAAACTCGTAACTAATGAGCACCCTACTCTGTATATATCCCTGTTCTGGGTCTAACACAGGGAAAATTTAAAGAAGCATTGTTACGGACTGAATGTTTGTGTCCCCCTAACATTTGCATGTTAAAGCTCTAATCCCCAATGTGACTGTATTTGGAGACGGGGCCTCTAAGGAGATAATTAAGGTTACATGAGGTCATAAAGGTAGGCCCTGATCCATCAAAATTAGTGAGTTTATAAAAAGAAACACAAAAAAGCTCTCTCACATGCTCTCCCTCTCTCCACACACATGCACACAAAGGTCATGAGAATACATAGCAAAAAGATGGCCAGCTACAAGCCAGAATGAGAGCCCTCTACCAGAAACCGAAATGACGAGGCACATGGATCTCATACTTCTAGGCTCCAGAACCGTGAGAAAATAAGTTTCCGTTGTTTAAGCCACTCAGTTTATGGCATTTTGTTATGGTAACCCAAACAGACTAATACAAGCATGAAATGTCATACTCCCTTTAAAGAGCTTACAATGGAGTAGTATGGCAAAACAATAAGAGAGCAAATTCAAATTTACAATTTATGCAAGCAGGAGATGAAGGGGACTAGGAGAGGGAGGGAGCAATTACCAAGGCATGGAATGATGGAGAAAAGCATTTTAAAAAGGCAGAATTTAGGCTGAGCCCTGGAGAATAAGCAGTGTTTTCTCAAAAAATAAATAAATAAAAATAAAAAGGCACAGAGTTGATATCCATGAAAATAAATGGGAGATCATAATATTATATAAGCTTCATGTAGGCAGGGATTTTGTCCACCCTGCTTACCCTGTATTCCTAGCACTACAATAGTCCCAGGCACATGGTAAGTGCTCAACACTTGTTGTTGGAATGAACAAAATAAGAAAGAATCAAGCTGCCTGAAGTGATTCCAACCAGAATACTGAAATTACAAGATGAAAAATATAGATATAAACTGATGGTCAAAGGGACACCGGTTCTAAACAGAAGAGTGAAATCTATCCTTAATTTTCTTTCTTCATTCTATATTCTTTTTTTCTACCTTGCTATTTTCCACTCTTGTTATTTTCCTTCTTTTTCTCACTTAACAATATAGTTTTTCAAGCATTATCATGCACTTCCCCTAGTTCCCACAGTTCCTCTCCTACCACCTCCCAGAACATTCACGTTTCTCTCAGCTTAATGAAATGGAAAACAGAGGACAGAGGCAGCTGGGATAACCCATGGGGAGTAAATTGAGGGAAATGGAAAGGAAAGAATCCAAGAGATGTCAAGTAGGGCAATCATACATCCTGGTTTTCCCAGAATAGTGCTAGTTTAGGCCTACTATCCCTGCATATTTAATAGTGGCCCCCTTAACTCACAAAAGTATCCCTGTTTGGACAATAAATTTTGCATTACCCTACCCAAAAGTTAAATTAGCAAAAGAACTCTTTAGGAAGATTAGCCCAGATGGATTAGAGGGGGTTAAAAAGAAAAAAGGAAGGGAAATGAATTAGGAGACAACACTAGGAATGCAGTAAGAGTGAACACTGGAGGGTCTGGCACGTTGTAGGTACCCAACACATGTTTTTGAATGAATGAACAAATGAAGAAGATAGCAAGACCCTAATCCAAGATGAGAGAACAGAGAACAATGAAGTCTAGCTATTTTCAGGAACGCATCCACATGTATAACGCACACATCCATATATCCTTTGAATACAGAGGATGGACTGAAGGAAACAATCCAAGGTCATCAGATCCATGTCTAAATACCAAGAATGGTAGCGTCACTAAGCAAGATAGGGACACACAGAAACATTTTAGACAAGGGGAAGAGGAATATATCATGAAGGCAAATTTGAGAATGATAAGACAGAAAGGACAGAGGAAGTCATGAAAATGTATAAACTTACTGAGGGCTGGGCACAGTGGCTCACTTCTATAATCCCAGCACTCTGGTAGGGTGAGGTGGGAGGTCTGCCTGAGCCCAGGTGTTTGATCAGCCTAGGTAAAAAAATTTTAAAAAGTGAGCCAGGTGTGGTGGCACATGCCTGTGGTCCCAGCTACTTGGGAGGCTGAGGGAAGTTGAGGCTGCAGTGAGCCCATGATCACGCCACCATACTCCAGCCTGGCAGACAGTGAGACCTTGTCTCAAAATAAATAAATACATTAAAAAAATAAAAAACAGATAATCTTACTGAGAAAGGGATTTGGGTTAGAAGAGTGATATCATTTAGATGTTCCCTCCAAATCTCACATTGAAATGTAATCTTCTATGTTGGAGGTGGGGCCTGTTGGGAGGTGACTGGATCATGGGGGTAGATTTCTCATGAATGGCTTATTGCCATCCTCTTGTTTCTGCCCTTGTGATAGTGAGTGAGTTCTCATGAGATCATGTTGTTTAAAAGTGTGTAGTATCCCTCCGCCTTGCTCTTGCTCCTACTCTCACTGTGCTCTGCCTCCTCCCATTTTACACTCTACTATGCGTAAAAGCTTCCTGAGGCCTCCCCAGAAGCTGAACAGATGCTGGCACCATGCTTCCTGTACAGCCTGCAGAACCATGAATCAGTTTAAACTCTTTTCTTTACAATTTACCCAGTCACAGGTATTTATTTTTTTTCTTTTTTCTTTTTCTTTTTTTTTCTGGGACGAAGTTTGGCTCTTGTTGCCCAGGCTGGAGTGCAATGGTGTGATCTTGGCTCACCGCAACCTCTGCCTCCTGGGTTCAAGTGATTCTCCTCCTAAGTAGCTGGGATTACAGGCATGCGCTACCACGCCCAGCTAATTTTTTGTATTTTTAGTAGAGACAGGGTTTCTTCACGTTGGTCAGGCTGGTCTCGAACTCCCAACCTCAGGTGATCTGCCCGCCTCGGCCTCCCAAAGTGCTGGGGTTGCAGGGGTGAGCCACCCACCCGGCTAGTATTTCTTTATAGCAACATAAGAACAACCTAACACAAAGGGGCAGGTAGGGAGAAAGAGAAATGCACAGTAATGCATTGTGAGAAAGCCCAGGGTGGTGATGGCGGAGCTGAGGAGGAAGCAGGACCAGACAGGAGATCAAAGAGGGCCAAATGAGGAGAGTTTGATCAAAAAGAAACCCGTTTGCTCCCTTCTGCCTGATTGAATAGGAAATTCCCTCAGAAATCCTGGAAGAATTCCTAGGTACTAAGGAAGTAGGGTCTTGGCTGGGGAAGTTTGGAAGGAAACATGAGGTCATGGGCTAGTAGGACACTAGGGGTATCTGTACAGTTGTACAGAAAAGCAAAATCTCAGATAGCCAGTGAATGTATGAGGACTGATAAGGCCCTCACAAATCTCTGAGACTGGTAGGTAAGTTTTCTAATCCTACGACCACCATCCATTTCAGGCTGTGACAAATACATAAAGGGTAGAGTCCTACTGAGAGAGAGAGAGAGAGAGAGAGAGAAAGAGAGAGAGAGAGAGAGAAAGAGAGAGAGAGAGAGAGAGGCTTTACTTGTAGGCTGTTTTCCTTTAATTCACCAGCATCATCTGCCTGTTCAAGTCCCTCTAAGCAATGGTTACATGGTCCTTGGTTATTGATTAGGTGCAATGGAGTAAGGAATAAGAGGGAATACCTGAAAATGAATTCAAGGGACGGATAAGTGAAATGTAAACATTGAAAGAAAAAAAAGAATTAGAAGAAAATATCAAGGGACTACTTGATCTCAGGGAAAGGCCTAAGCCTCAAACATAAAACAAAAGCTAACACCATGTGAAAAAGCTGATGTATCTGACACATAAAAATTTCTGTATTCCAAAAAAATGCCACAACAAATCTATAATATAGAGTTTGCCTTATACTGGAATTGTTTGTGTGTATGTCTGTGTCCTTCCTCACACGCATACATTAAACTCTACGCCCTCAGACAGCAGATCCCGTGAGATTTGCCTGTAGCTACTACACAGTGTCTGACACAAAGAGGGCTCAGTCAGCGTTGTTTGATTTGAAATGGTAAATTAAACACGTTTAAGATTCTATCTAACACCTGGAGTGCACCTAGGGATGCTGAGAGCCAAATCCGCACATCACTACTACCATCCCTCCTCTACATGTGTGTCCTTGTTGTGCTTCATATTATTGGGAAACACCATAATGGTGTGTTTGCATTCTTGGTAATTCTGTCTCAACAGAGCCATCCCAGGGACTAAATTCCCTAAGAGACTGACCTGGTCCCACTATTCAGAGACTCTCAGTATGTCAGAGCTGGAAGGCACCTCCCAATCTATCCAGTCTTACATCCAAATGCACGGAAGGAAAACTTGGAAATTAGAGGAAAACTGGGACTCAAATCCAAGTCCCATGACACCCAATTTTGAGTTCTACCACATCACCCTTATTCCCATCTCAAACAAAACTCTACTCCTCAAGGTCCAGAGGCCCCCTGCCCACTTCAGTGCCTTTCTCCTATTTGACAAATAACCACTGAGGAAAGCTTCCTTTCAACCCTGGTGCCCACAAGCAGGATTCCTGTGCCCAGACCAACTTCACAATCTAGGTCTCACCTGCCCAGGAGAGAATGGAACGACTCACCCATATTCCTGTGCACAGCAGCCTCAATCCAAAGGATCTGCCCAGCACAGATCTTGCCTGATCTCCTCCTTGAGTTCAGTGAAGAAGTTCCTAAGAGGGTCTTGAGTCACTGTAAACAGATATAAATGACTGAGTTCTCTGAGACCTGAACTCCAAGTGGACACTCAGGGCAGTGTCCCATCTTTCGGTAACTTCCCTTCCTATAGAACTGTGGGCAGTAAGAAGGATCATTTCCAGTGTAAAGATGAGGGAATGAAGTTCCCAGGGATTGAACGACTTGCCCAGGGTCCTATAGCTAGTGAGTGATTAAAAAGCCTTCTGTGTCTGCAGGAAATCCTAATTCCATCACACCACAGCCTCCCCTTTTCACCCACTCCATCGATAGCTAAAAGCTTCCATGTTCTCATCTAACTGCAAAATACAGTGCAGTGGAGAACTTCTTTGCATCCAGCTTTCCACAGAAAGTCTGCACAAGGGGTATGAGAGAGAGAACTCTGCTGAGTCAAGTGTCTTTAGGAAGACAGAAAGAAACAAGGCTTTAAAAGAGCACTACAAAAAGCATGTTTCTTTTTTTCTGTTTACCCATTTCTTAGGATTACTAAGCCTCAAATGTTTTCTGTTTCCCCCTCCAGATCCCCAGACCCTGCTTCTAACCCTTCAAGCTTGTTCCATTTCTCCCCTACCAGAATTTAGTTCTGCCCCGTACACAACCATAACTCCAGGACCTAGCACACTACTAGGTTAGTGCTCAATAAATATTTGTTGAATGAATGAATGAATGAATGAGTAACCTTGGGCAAGACTCCGTTCTCCTCTCTGGGCCCCGGGTTCCTCACTGGTAACGGAAGGGATATTGGACTGGTGATGTGAGTCAAATACTCAGGGGCTCTGGAGTCCTCTGAGAGCCTAGGCAGGACTCGACCGCTGTTACCCGGACGGCCCACTGCTTAGGAGCGGGGACGACACAGTGCTGTCACCACGGCCAGCCTGGTCCAAGCGAGCAGCTACGAGGAGTCGGAGACTAGACTCGAGACAAAGGGGCAGCAGTGAACGAGAGAAGGGGGAGGCCCACAACCCTTTGGCTGCCGCGCCCATCTCAGAAGTGGGCAGCCGCAGAGGAGCCCTGGCCTCCCGGCCTGCGTCTCCCACACGCTCCCAGAACCCGGCCCGACCCCCCATGTCAGGCTGTAGAGCACCCCTCACCGAAAGCGCCAGACCCACATCTTGAACAAAGCGCAGAAGGAACTGCGTCAGCAACTCCTAGCTAACTCCCAGCCTCTCCCTCCGGCCCTTCTAGGCTTCATGAGGTTTCCACATCTCTGTGCCCGCGGGTTGGAGTCCCCCCGCCCCTCAGCAGCCCCGCGCGGTCGGCCGGCGTTCTGGCCCTGCCTCCCTTCCGGGCTTTGCCCTATCATTGGATGAAAGGGCTTGGCGACTTCAGCCAATGTGAGGAGGGCCCTGGAAAGGGTGGAAGCTGGGCAGGGTGCTTGCTTAGGGCGGAAAGAGACCCAGCAGCTGCGTGGCCAGGCTGAGACTCCCTGAAGTTACACCCCCAGCTCCGGTTGCTGAGCAGAGAGGTCATCTTTCCTTCCACAGATCTGGGTCATTCAGCCTCAAAGCCAGGATCAGCTATGGTTTATTGGCAGCATATGAAAAGATGTTTTGGGTGCCTACTATGTCACTCACTGTTCCAGGCACTGCGGATACCGTAGTGAAGAAAATGAACTCTGTGGCCCATTGAGTTTACATTCAAGTCAAGGGAGACAATGATAAATAAATATGCAGAACGTAGTAGTAAGGGGAGAGAGGGAGATTGTAGTGGGACTATTTTATAGATGACAGGGAGGGCAGAGACAGAAGTGGGCCATTGAAGCATGTGGCTATCTGCGGAAAGAGTATTCCCATAGTGGGCTATTAGAAGCAAATTCTTTAATCAGGAGTCGGGTGGAGAGGTGCACATTAGGACCTTGTAGACTATGATAAGGGCTTTGGATTTGCTCTGCATAACAGTTGGAGGGCTTGGGGGCAGAGGAATGACATGATCTAACTTTTTTCCCCTCACCACATATTCAAAGACGTGTAAGCTATGAGACATGAAAGAAGCCAAGAAGCCTGTTACTATAAATTCTGTGAATTCTTTGCTGTCTGTCCTTAGCCATTCTAACATAAACCTTGCATGAGTTTTGCTCTTTGACTTATATTTTTAGTTTGCATTGGCTGTCCTGTTGAGAACGGTCTGAAGGTGGGTAAGAGTAGAAGCAGGGAAATTAAGAGGCCATTACAATATTCCAGATGAGGAATGATAGTGGCTTGGACAGGCTTAGAAGTGATGGAGGTAGGGAGAAATGGTTCTGCATATATTTTGAAGGCATGGCCTGCATGATTTGCTAATAAATTGAATGTTCGTTACTGATGACTCCATGGTTATTGATCTGAGCAACTAGCATGGGATGGTCTTTTAGAAATGGAGTAGCTTGAAAGGAACAGGTTTAGGGAGAGGGATTAGTAGTTTTGTTTTAGATGTGTTAAGGTAAAGATGCCAATTAAACATCCAAGAGGAAATGCCAAACAAGCAGTTGGAATAGGAGTCTGGAGTTCCGTGAAGAGACCACAGCTAAAGATGTAAATTTGGAAGTTGTCAGGACAGGATGAGACAATCTAGGGAATGATTTATCTAAGAAGGAGTCTGAGAATCAAGCTTTTGAGGTACTTCATCAATTGACAAATATTTAATATTTAATATTGTTGAATACTTAAAGTATACCAGGAGCTTTCTTCTCCATTGGCTCATGTAGGTGGCACAACTCCGCCACATTGTATACAGATTGAAAAAGAGATTCGGATATAAGTCCTCCACAAGTTCACACCCTCAGTTGATGTGGGATGTAGAACTCAGGACACTGTGCTGAAGAGCACAAGACTATTGCCACTACATCAAGAAACTTAAAAAGAATAGGCTGGGTGTGGTGACTCACGCCTGTAATCCCACCGCTTTGGGAGGCCAAGGCGGGTGGATCACCTGAGGTCAGGAGTTCTAGACCAGCCTGGCCAACATGGTGAAACCTTGTCTCTACTAAAAAATACAAAAATTAGCTGGGCCTGGTGGCAGGTGCCTGTAATCCCAGCTACTCGGGAGCCTGAGGCAGGAGAATCACTTGAACTCAGGAGCCGGAGATTGAAGTAAGCCAAGATCGCGCCATTGTACTCCAGCCTGGGTGACAAGAGCAAAACTCAGTCATACACACACACACACACACACGCACGCATGTGCACACACACAAGAATATTCATGTACATTAAGGGAACTCTGATCTTTAACTTACTTATTCTTCCCTTTCACCTACTCTTTGGGTGGGTGGGACCATTCATTCTGATTCAAGCTGCTAACCCCACATCTGGTCCCAGGGAGGAATGATTACTCCCAAAATTCTAGTCCAGTCATTCTCAAATTTTAGAGAACATAAGGGTCACTAGAATATATGTTAAAAATAGATTCCAGCCTGCCTGTATCCAGCTTCTATTGCTCTTATCCACAAGCATACTTTTTCCTACAAAAATCTATTCATTCAGTCAAGTATAATGTCACTGCTCAGAAATCAGGGTATTTTTTGTGTGTCATAATTGCCTAAATACTCAACAATTTCCATCTTTATTATGACATCTATCTGCCAAAGAAATTCTAACTCATTTGGGTAAATGAAATAAACATCTAGCTGATCAGGCCTTTTTAAGTTTGTGGACTGCGCCATTTAAGCGGAAAAAACATTGTGATTTTAGTCAGTTGACAATTCTTAACCAGGTATAATTTCAGAAATACCCATAGGCCAGAAAGGTGGGCCATCATACATTGCTCTATTGTGTTTTCACGTAAAGCACCCACACTCACATACCTTAAAAGGGAGTCTGCATCTGACCCTACTTGGCATCCACCTGGGTAAAGTGACCCTGTGCATATATTAGTGGAGGACTGTTATGGTTTGGTGAATAATAAATCTAAAATGTCCTATCCTGGATCAAGTACTAGCACCACTAGGTGTTTCTTGAGCCAACTGTAATTATAACACCTTCCTGTACCCAACTGTGGCAAATTCTACTGGTCCCCATCAGGGCAGAACATGACCTGATGTTAGGGATAGGGGATTTACTTTCAATTTTTTTATACTGCCACCATGTGCATATTCACAATGGACAAATTCACAATCTGTCCCTAACCCCTAGAGGTTTTCAGGAATGCTTGCTTTGTAGTACTCCAGAAAAAGGTCAACACCTTGACAGAACTGTCTCTGAACATGGGACAGTACTCAATCACTTGTTAACATCCACCATCTCTTGACCTTTCCTACTGGATTCAGAAGCTGAATGACCAGGGCTGGAGTTTATGACAAGGGTTTGGCTGTAGAATATTTTCATTGCATGTTTAAGAGATAAGCGAGTAAGTATACCACTCCTAGCACCTTTACCATGTCTCACCACCTAAACTGTCTCCTGGGTTTGAATTCTGTTTGACTAAAAAAAAGATATATTAAATTGGAAGTTCTGTAACACTGTTTACTGATACCCTTTTTCGTGGGTTCCCTCATGTACCAGAAACTATGTGTTGTATAACAAAACTTTTCCACTTCAGGAATATTTTTCAGAAATATGTGCAAAATATGGAAGGTCATGATGAATGATTTCTTGACCTCTAAAAACCAAAAATTTCTCTAACCCATATGATTTATCTGATGTCAAACAAAGTCTCTTGTGTATGATGTTTGCTACAACTGAATGGTTTTTCACATATCTTAAGAATAGGTTATCTGGGCTGGGCATGGTGGCTCACACCTGTAATCCCAGCACTTTGGGAGACCAAAGCAGGAGGGTTGCTTAAGGCCAGGGGTTCAAGTCTAGTCTAGGCAACATAGTAAGACTCCTGTCTCTATAAAAAATTTTAAAAATTAGCCAGGTGTGGTGATATGTGCCTGTAGTCCTAACTACTCAGGAGGCTGAGGTGCAAAGATCCCTTGAACCTAGGAAGTTGAGGTTGCAATAAGCCATGATCACACCACTGCACTCCAGTCTGGGTGAGAGTGAGACCCTGTCACTTAAAAAAAAAAAAAGATTTTGTTTCCAATGTGGAGTAATGACTTGTGACTGAAGGGTTTTCCACATTCAGTTCTTTCACAACCATGCTATTTCCAATGAGACAGAGAACTTGGAAGGAGGCTCCGCTGGATAACTAGCCTGAAGGCTGAGCCAAAAAGAAAGCTAGATATAAATGCTGGCCCTGAGTGAAAAATTTTCAACCAGCTTAGCAAAATGTGAAGCTGCTTTTCTACTGCTGAAGTGCATAGTTACGTAAATTTACAACTAGCCTTCTAGCTTCAGATCTAAAGGGACAGTTTTAACAGCACCTACTTGGAATATAAAAGGATATCCACTTTCCCTATTTGCAGACAAATATTAGGACTGCATTCATCATTCACTAATGAGGAAAAAGCAAATGCATGTGAAGGCAATGTAAAGCCTCGGCAACTTAAGGCAGTAAAAGAACATATGAAAAAAATTCAAGAAAAATGAAATTCAAAAAGAGAAACAAAATGCACTGCCTTCAGTAATCCTGAAAGTAAAAAAACAAACAAACAAATAAACAAAACTGAAAGGAAACCAAAATGTAAAACATTATACAGTTGGCCCCCTGTATTTGTGGGTTCTGCATCCACATATTCTGAGGATATGGAGGGCTGACTGTAAGGGAGCATCTGAGGGCTTCAATATCCGAGGTAGGGGCATCCTGGAACCAATTCCCTGTGGATACGGAGGAATGACTATATATGGAAAAGGAGGTCTAATTACATATACAGAACAGAGGAAAATAATCTTACAGAATACTAGGTGTAACTTTATGCCAATGTTTGACAGAATAGTAAATATGATTTCCAGATATATATTAGAAAAATTTACACAGTAGAAAACCTGAAGAACAAAACCATTGAAAAAATCTGCAAGGATGCTAAAATAAGTCCCTCTACCCTGACACATCCAAACACCAGTAAAAAAACGTATGTATATATGACGTGTCATTTCTAGCTAGCCTTCAAGGAATAACTGCTATATTACACACACTCTTCCAGAGTAATAAAAGAAAAAAAACTTCCAAATTCATTTTGCACAGCCAGCAAAACATTGGCACATTGAATCTACTTCTGAACTTAAAAAAAAAAAAAAAAAAGGCCAGGCGCAGTGGCTCACGCTGGTAATCCCAGCA